AGGAGGATGAGGAGGAGGAGGCGGCCGCGGGGCTCTCGGTGCCCGGCGTCTATTTCCGCTGCCCGCTGACCGGCGCCGTGGTGAGGAAGAGCGCGAGGGAGAAGCACGTCCGGGAGGCCATCCTGGCGGTAAGAGCCCCCGTGTCCCCCCCGTGTCCTCCCTGCATCCCCCCCGTGTCCCCCGTCCTCCTGCCCGCTTCCCGGGGGCCTCCCCTGCTGACCCCCGTCCTCGTCCCTCAGTATTTCGCCGTAGATCCTGTGGCTGCCTCCATCATGGAGATCCACACCTTCAACAAGGACCGGGAGAGGGTGCGCGCGGGCGTGGAGACCATGGCCAGGTAGGTGGGCCCGAGCGCGGCCGTGGGGCTCCGCGCAGCGCCCAAAGGAACCGGCGCCGGAATGGCAGGACRCGGAAAGCTGCTTCAAGAGCTAGTCCAGGAACCGCTGCTCGTGGCACTGTATTTTTACATCCCTCAGCTGCCTCAGTTTTACTCAGTGTTTTAATCCATCCCGTATATTCCCTTTCCTGCAGGTACCTGGATAACATCTATGTTCATCCAGAGGAGGAGAAGTACCGGAAAATCAAACTACAGAACAAAGTGTTTCAGGTAGGAGACTCCTGCGGGTGCTCCCCGCTGAGGGACCTCCTTGCCTGGAGCAGCCTACGCTGATTACTTTTTTCCTCTCCTTGTAGGAAAGGATAAGCTGCCTGGAAGGGACACACAAATTTTTCCAGGCTGTTGGCTTTGAGACAAAAGTACTAGCTGTTCCAGAACAAGGCAAGGAAATACCATGTATTAAAGTGTAAAGTGTAGCCAGGGAGACACCTCAGGTTGCTCCGAGAGCTTTACCCTCCCAGGCTGCAAGAGAAGCAGCCCCTCACCCTGCAGTTTCCCTGTTAGTCAAGGCACTAGTGGGTTCCTCCTCCTTAAAGTTCATATATTCCTCAGTAAAGAATGTGAGACCCAAGAACAAATCTCAAAGCGTGTGTTCTCGCTGCAGAGACCACAGAAGAGTACTACGTGCTGAAGGAGGAAATGCTGACCAGGCTGGAAGACCTCAAGGACTACAAAGAGCAGCTGCTAAGCTCGGAGCCGGTGAGGGCGCAGCTGGATCGGCAGCTCTCCGTGTTCAAACCATCTCCGGCAGCTGCCCATTTCGAGCTGCCCAACGACTTCTACAACCTCACGGCAGAAGAGATCAAACGAGAGCAGAGGCTCCGGTGAGGAGGCTGAAGGGAGGGCCTGGGGGTGGTGCCCAGTTCCCCTGGTACCTCTCCGTCCTGCTAAGGCTTGCTCCTGCCTGAAGGTCGGAAGCGGTGGAGAAGGCCTCGATGCTGCGGACAAAGGCCATGCGGGAGAGAGACGAGCAGAGGGAACTGCGCAAGTACAACTACACCCTGCTCCGCGTCCGCTTTCCCGACGGATACATCCTCCAAGGCAAAGACCTTCCTTTGAAACCCTGCCTTTATAGCTCCCCGCTAAGAGCTTCTGCAAATGCTTCTCCTACAAGAGCTTGAATAACAGGCAGGGGTAGAGATGTGCAGGACGCAGCTGCAGGATAAAATAACAGTCTGAGTGCAGTAGCAGCTCTGAGGACTCTGCTAACTCCGAGCCCTCCATCTGCCTTGTCCAAGTGGGGCTGGGACCACAACCCGGGGAGAAGGGACAGGGTTTGGGCTCATCACGCTGTTAATTAATGTACAACATTAACGTTAATTAACGTGTGCTCTTCCCAGGCAACTGCCAACACGCTGGACTCGTTAGATGAGCTTGTCACAGGAGGCAGCGTGAGGCTGCTTCAGTGGTGGCGAGTTACATAACAGAATGAGTCCTCTTCAGACTGCAGTTGAGCGCTGGAAATAATTCCAGGCTTTCCCAGCTCTTTGTTGCTGGCTGGCAGGGACTTACCACAGTGGAAGTGACACTSTTCTTTAGCAATTCTGCTTCTGTACTTGAACCAGGCTGCCCTTCTMGGGCACTGAAGCAGTTCATCAGTACTCAAGCCCCTGCAGCATCTACCTCTCTCACTACTGATTGAAAACAAGACTACAAACATGCTTTTTTTTTTTTTCAATGTATCACCTTCTTTTTTCATGGCAGGGACATTTTATGCACGAGAATCAATATCTATGCTCTACAGTTTTGTGAGAGAAGCACTTGTCAATGACTGGCTGCCCTTTGAGCTGTTGGGGCCTGGAGGCGTCAAACTGACAGACGAGAACTTGGCCTTCAGTGAATGTGGGTTGGTAAGTCGTAGAAAGGTAAGAAAAGCTGGTCAAGACCGTGTCCCAGGGGAGCTGGGTCTGTAGGCAGCAACAAGAACCAGAGGGGTTCTACAGTCTTCCTTCTCCCTGGAAACATTGTTAGTGGTTGTTGGGTGTAGGAGCATGTACATGGGTCCAGGTAGCAGAGCTGCAGCTTCCTAATCCTGCCCTTCCTCCTGCAGGTGCCCTCGAGCCTCCTGACCCTGGTCTGGGATGCATCGGTCATGGCAGACATCCAGGCTGCGGGAGAGGAGCAGCCAGAGAGCCCCCTCAAACCACAGCTCCTCTCCCAGGTCCAGACCCTGTCATGAAATAAAGGGGAGTGGAGTCAGAGCTGATGATTTTAGCCTCTTCCTTCATGTCCCCACGGCCTGGTGGAGCCTGGACATGAGTCTCCTTTTAGCTCAATGCAGTGGAAGCCCAGATTGTGCCCTGCCACAACCCCTGCTGTCATCTCCACAACGCCAGCAGCCCTCCACTAAAGCAGCCTTGCCTACTAAAACAYTACGGGGCTGCTTTGGAGGGCTTGTAAAACCACGTTCTAGCAGTTACTGCTTGAGGTATTTTCTAGATCCCAAGGACTTACCCCTCTCCTCCCTTGGAGGAGGGATTAGGTTCTAATTCAAGGCTGGATTACCAAGTGATGGAGCCTGGATCCTGGGCTGGGCCTAGAACTCAGCTTTTCCTTTTGCTTCTGTGTGCACTGTTAACTCCTCCTGGAGAGAGTTTATTTAGATAAATTATGTTGAGTCCGATTAAATGGAATACTTAAAGATGGAGTGCTGTTAATTGTTATTTGAAAGGTGGAGCAGGACTGGGAAATGCGAGTTGCAGTCACGGGTGTGGGCTGGGGTCTCACCTGCTTCCTCAGCTCCTGCCACGTGCACAGGGAACAAGGGAGAGGAAGAGCTGCCACGAGGCAGCAGCTCTTCAGGCTGTGCTCTCTCACTGAGGGAGGACTAAGCCTGCAACTACAGCCACTACTGTAGAGAATTTCCTGAATCAGCTCCCAAACTGTGTTAAATGAGAAGGACCTACATTTTTGTTACACCTAGAAAGTTGCAACGACTGTTCTTTATACTATGCCCAAGAGCTTAAAAATGAGGTAGAGACTAGTTTTTCCACGTAAACTTGTATTACAGGAGACCAGGGCAGCCTGCTGCTAGATTCAATCCGTACCAGTCCAGCCCAAAATGAGAGAAACAGCTGGCAGTTTTCCTCTCTTCTAAAGGTAAATCCTTGCTGCCCTTCGCTATAGCAAGTAAGACCACAAACAGGATAGCAGACATAGCATAAATTCAAATATAATTGTACATCATTTATACCCAAGGCCATGCTATACAGAATTATGAACAGAATGATTCCCCAGTGGCATCACAATAGGCTTATATTTCAAATTCCCTCTACTAGATTAGAGATAACTTAGATACTTTCCATTACAAAGAAGTATCAAAATTTCAATAATGCTTTATTAAGGACAGATTAATATGCAATTTTTCTTTTGCTAAAAACTAGACCTAAAAGTTTAAGCTTCCATGTGGTCTGAAGCAGAACAAAGTGCTGTCTTCTCTTTACAAGAAATATGGAATACTTTCAAGTATCTCGGTCAAAAGATACACAAGTTTTAAAAATTTCTAAGTAATTCTACATACATACAGGGAAGTTAGTAGGCATTTAAGTCTCAAACTGTATTAGATGGACTGGCCACGCTCGTGTCCTGGAGAGGGGCAATTGTGCCATTTGAGTCTGGAGCTGCCAAAGGTTCTGGAGCTGCCAAAGGTTCTGGAGCTGCCAACGTAGAATCTGCAAAACAGAATGTGATGCATTTTCTTCAAATCTCTGTAGTTGCCTGCAGAATTAGATTGCTGCCATATATGCTTTAAGTCTTACTGTGCCTGCATACAGTGTTTGCCCTGTCACAACGCTCTTTTCAACACCATTCCAAAGCTGTTTTTAACGCTAGGTTACAGCAGCCCAGAATAAAGTTACATCAAACCTAAAAAAAGCAGCTTTACAGTCTTTGCAGTGCTTTAGGCTTCAACAGATGCAGCTGCACGAGTGTCAACAAAGCCTGCAAGCCGCGTCCCAGTTCTCAAAGCAAAAGAGGTTACAAACCTGAAGCAAAACTTCTCTCACTGCAGTCTTTTGCATTGTAAGTAGACAAAAGCAGCCTAAGATTAAATGTAGAAAGCTTCTTGTCAAACAGCTATGAGTGGAAGGCAAGCAGAGGAGTGTTAAGAGCAGCTGAGATAGAGGGGAGAGCCACGATGCATCAAGAATGGGACACACGCACAAAGAAATCTGTCTTTCCGATCAATCCTTTAGAGAATTTAGGGTTTTGTGCTGTTTTGCTCAGCACAAAAAGCCCCCTCCATGACTGAGCTCGTGCCACGCTCCTGTGTGGTCAGAGCACTGCRGGATGGGGCTTAGGGAAGCTGGACACCCATCGTGGGGTTTGTCTCACAGATCCAAGGATTCCCGTTGACCAACGTGCAGCGCTCCTGCTCTCCGCGAGCAAGTGTCTGCCAAGGGTTCATGGTCTGTTCATTCTCCCACCTTTGCCTGGCTGTACATCCACAATCATGCAGTCGTCATCTTCCTCATCTTCCTCGGTGTCTGCCTGAAACCCATCCATCTCCACTGCTTCAGCCTTAGTGAGGAAAGGAGGGAAAAAAAGAGTTTCAGGTGCAAAATATTAGGCCTATGGTGCAAACATGCAAACCCCAACACTTCACTCCAGCAGCCAGCATGGACATTCCCAATTACTGCTCCCAGCGGTTTGCAGAGTCAGGCATGAATATCTGTAGGAAACGGAAGAAAAAAACCCCACATTCCTGGCTCTAGACACCGACTTTTGACACGAGGCCTCGTCTGCAGCGGCACGTACGGCAGGACGCGCGCCAAGAATCCTCACTATTACACAACGCAGCGAGCAGCCCACGCATCTAACAAATGCAGTTAAATCCTTAATTGAAATCTGTTTTTTTTTCCCTCCTCCTGATTATTTTGGTTATTTCCTTCTTCTGGAAAACTACTCCTGGAGTGTCATGCCTGAAGTCTCTTCTCCGACTTGCATGTCACCTGTTATGCCAGGTTAGCCTTTATTTAGCGTGGGATGACAGCGCTTCCCTCGCTGACCCCGTTTTGCCACGGGAGCAGCCCTAACTGCTCATTCTGGAATAACCCCCGGAGCGACAGGAGGAGCTGCAGCTGCCCAGCCTGCACAGCTGGGAGCCTCACACCCCAGSCCCCAGCAGCTATTTCCAGACAATAAATTCTACATTCACCTCTTYCAAGGCCTCAGTTCTCACATTCCTCACTATTCCCTTCCCACAAACGTGCACATTTYACATTTTGTCTGCTTCAAAACTGTTCTTTCGCTGCAGCTTGTGCAATAGCACCTTTACTTGCTTAAAATGTCTGGCACAAGCGTCGTGATGGAGTCTTACACACCAGGAACACAGAACCTGTCAGCCTAGACCTACCCCCATTCCTAATTTCTCCACAGATCCAGCCTTCCTCGAGGGGGAGGATGGGATCCGGATACCAGAGCACTGCCGGTTTACGCATCTGATATGAGAAGTTCCCTGGAGTCTTCCAGCACCTTGTTCCTAGCAGCACTGCACCACATCTCACAAGGACAGCTTTACTTCAAGACGCTTCCCGAGCTTTGAAGATTTCAGGCTTGTGATGTAATTTTACTAAAAGCCCTTGAGCGGGAAGAAGGAAACAGGGGCTGGTTATAAGCACAGTCTCCAGTAACTGCCAGAGATTTTGTCTCTACCTTTATTTAGCATAAAGAAAAAAAAAAACCCTAAACAGATGGAGTTTGGGGGCTGAACAGCTCCTCACAAGTCTGAGCCCAATCCGTACATGAATTCAGAGGGTGGAAGAACCAGAGAACCTGAGAACAAGGTGGGAAGAGCCTGAAAAGCCTCATCCGAGGTTTCTCTTTCTCGTCCACAGGGGAATAAATCCCATGTGCGGCACAATCCCTGTCCTACCTGCAGGTTAGGAGGCAAAGAGCCGATAAGACCAAGCTTAATCCCTAAAGCTTCCCCATCTTCAACGCAACAGCATCGCAGAGCTAAAGCGCCGCTCACATCCTGTCCAAACACAAACTCTCTCTTCCAGCTCAGCTGCAAGGAAGCAGATCCTTGACACAGCGTCAAATGCGAGATGAAGTTCTTAATATTATTGCGATCACCCCAAAAAGCAGACGAGACCACGATGAAGCTCAGAGTTGGAGCAAACTACACCAAACACATCTCATTCTATTCCCATGATTTGCTTTTTAAACCAGCTCTTGAAACCCAACCTTGTGTCTGACAGTGTAAGCATGAGACTTAACAGACTGTTATGGGTCGAATCCAGCGCTTTCGAGCCGCATTTTAACGGTACACGAGCAACTGCTGCAAGTCATCAGCCCCAGCTATACATCTGGCAGCCACGCACAAACATAAGAACCTGCATATAAATTATCACTGAGCTGTAAAACCAAGGCCAAGCAGACACTCAGAACTATGCGTGGCTTGGATACAATCACTGCAAAACAGCAGAAAATGGAACAGCAGGAGAGCAACATTTCAGAAGGAACAGACAGCCCAAGCTAGAGAGACACAAGATGTGTGTGTCTCTGTTTTGCTTTAGAGTCACATAATTTCACTCCTTTCCCGCTAAAAGGGGATCTTTCTGTATCAAGGGYTGTGTTTGTGTCTTAATATTTTGGCTGTGCTGGGACGCAGCCCTGGCTGGCTGGGACGGCGCACAGCTGTATTCCCACAGGGATTTTTATTAGGGAAGAGCAGGGCTGGAGGAACTCACCCGCTCGGCCCCCCGCGGCCTCTTCATGAACTTGGTGATGGACATGCTGCCCGTGGGCCTCCTCTTCGCCGGCGCCGGSGGGGTCTGCGCGGCCGCGGCGCCCGGCGCGCTGCCCCCTTCCTCCTTCCCCGCCGAGGGCACTTGGGTGACGTAGTTCCATTGGCAGGGGACGGGGAGGTGCTCCTGGTCGAAGCTCTTGAGCACCTCCGAGTGCACGTACCAGCACATCCTGTACTCGGGCCGCTTGTCGTACACAGCGTTCTCGGAGATGATTCTCTTGAGCCTGGCTTTGGAGGGCACGCCGCTGTCCTCGCCCACGGGCGTCTGCGGCCGGGAGGCGTGGGGACTCGCGGGGCCCGCGTCGCCGCCGTCGGTGGCTGCGGTCACGTCGCTGAACAGCCCCTGCCGGCAGCACTCCTGGAACTCCTGGATGATCACCTTGCTCCCGTTCACGTTCCCGTGCAGCAGCGGCAGAAGCTGCCCAAGGACTGAAAGAAACAAAGAGGAAAGATTGAACTGTTTGAAGCTCAAGACAAGCCAGGCCAATGGAACCCCCCAGCACGCATGCTCCAGGAAAGGATACAATTAATTTTAGGGCAACCAAGATGATKAAGGGAATGGAACATCTCTCGTACAAGGAGAGACTGAGTGAGCTGGGCCTGTTTTCTCTGGAGARGGGAAGGCAGAGAGGGGGATCTGATCAATATCTCTAAGTACATGAAGGGGGAATGTAGGGAAGAAGGGGCCAAGCTCTTCTCAGTGCTGGCCAGTGCCAGGACAAGGGGTAATGGGTGTAAGTTGAAACCCAGGCATGGGTTTCAACCCATCTCCATGTGAGGAGGAACTTGTGCACTGTGAGGGTGCCTGAGCCCTGGCCCAGGCTGCCCAGGGAGGCTGTGGAGGCTCCGGAGGTCTCCCAAACCCACATGGAYGCGCC